TCTATCTATCTATCTATCTATCTATCTATCTATCTATCTATCTATCTCTGAGCAAGAGACAGAAACTATCTCTCCTTTTAAAAGTTGATCCAGTGGGTGGCTCTTTTTGGCATAGTAGTTGGTCCTCTTGATATAAACATTCATTGCCACCATTGGGATCCAAAGGTCTGATGAGGGGATTTCCTCATCACTCCAAAGCACCCAGGTTCTTCAGTGCTGACTCACCCATGATTGGTTAGAAGCAGCCAGGGCAGTTCCAAGAAGGCTCCATGGGATGCACTCAGATCCTACTTCGCTAGAGAAGGATCATAGATACAGGTGGTGCTGGAAAGGACCTCAGGCCAATGCTGTCATTTTAAAGTCAGGGAAATGAACCACCGTCACTGCCTCCCCCTCTACCGGACTTGCCCAAGATTATACAAATATCAAACCAGAAGTTGTATTTTAACTCAATTCATTTGATTTAAGAGGAGACATGAATTTAAGGTACCCCACAGATAGACAGAACTAATTGTCAAACAATACACAGTACTAAAAATTCATCCTTGGAGGAGGCTCTGCTCTATCATTTTTATCCTACTGAGGTCCAAAGTTACATGTTACAGGAATGTGGAGAGAGGGTATATTGTTACTGAGGAAGGATAGCAGGTCAAAACCACAGATATTTAAGTAAGGGGTCCTCATTTGTCATTTTGGAAGTACCTTAGTGTAGATGAGGAAAAATTCAATGGTTTGTATCACCCCAGGAATGGAAAAATCCCATTTCTGTTAAGGCTTCTAGATACACAGTCCCTGGAACAGATTGTGTGGGAGCACTCACTGTCTATGTGCCTATTTTCCGGGTTTGCTAAACGGATGTTTTCCTAATTCTTTAATCTTTGACAAAAGTTCACTTCTAAAAACATTTAGGTATTACCACAAGAATTACTAATATGCTTAGCTGAAGCAAGCCAGGATAATTTTAGTTAACAGGTAAGTCAATATTTCTCTTAGAAGTATAGGGAAATCATGTTTGCACAACTGGTGGGCTATTATGGACTTATTTAACTTGCTTAAAAGAATGTAGAGCCCACTATTTGGCCTGCTCATTTTACATTCATGATATAATCAGTCTTAGGCTGAATTTCTTAACTTCCTTTTAACCTACAAAGTCTAATTAATTGAGGCGGGTAGAGGGGGATTTAAGAGGAGAGATATATTTTCTTTCAGAATTATTTATTTTGTGAGAAAGAATTAGTTCAACTAATCCATTCTTTTAAATAGTCTATTACGTAAAATCAGTCAGGCCTGCATTTGATTTGAACCAACATAAATGTAAACCT